TTCTTAATGCTTGCTTTGGATTGATCACCCTTTGCATGATTTAAGGTTCCATGGGTATTGGAAAATAACCTTTGAAACTAGTTCTGAAACATATGCCTAGTGGTGATTGTATCTAGGGATAGAGCTTGACCCATTAGTAGTCTTAAACCCTAGCCCGTAATGCGGGTGTAGATATTGGATACTCAAGGGATTGATATTCAATATCCACACCTAGGCTCTTGCTCTAAGGGATTAGGTTTGAGTAAACTATTGGGTTGACTAAGCAATGAATTTAACAAGAGATTAAGGATTCATTAGTTTAACGTTTGGTGAAATCTGACCCCACAACCTCACAATACCACAATATCATTTCTAACCTTTTCCACTCACAACCAAATGTTTTTATAATTTTTATTCCAGTAGTCATGATCTTTAATTCACATTCACATGACAAACTACAAATTGGAATTATTCTTTAGTCACGAATAGTCAATAAATGCTTATATTACCTTCTAATCCCTGTGGATACGATATTTTTACTACTTGAACGGCCAGTATATTTGCCGTGTTTGAAACCGTTGATAAAATTAAACGAATTTACAAATATTAACAAAAGTGTTTCAACGGAAATCTCAACAGAGGCATAGACTAATTTGCCTTTTTATTTGGTATATACAGTATAATTACTTAAAAACTCTTTAAATTAATAATTATTAATTTATCGATAAATTAATAACTCTCTAAATTAATAAATTTCTCCGGTCCTGACATTATTAATTTAAAGAGTTTCTACTGTAGAAGAAAAAAGTAACTAATTTATCAAAACAAACAAAACAAAAAATAGTTATGATAGTTAAGTTTCATTAATTATATCATAAAAATAAATTTTGTTTCAAATATACTCTTTGAATTGAATGATTTAAAAAGTGCTTGCATTTAGTAACACTACACTTAATTCGAGAGATGTTTTCTTTTCCTACCAATGAATGTAACTTATTGTTAATAAATCAATAAATGTCTCCACTTGTACAAGGGTATAAAAGAGAATTAGTGATTAGTACATCTTAAGATACATATTTGTTTCTTAGAATTATGACAAAAAAGTGTACCTAATCCTTTTTTATATAATGGACCGAAAGGAATGTTTAATAAAATTTTGTCAAAAATTTACTTTTAATTTCTATTTTTTTATCTTACAAAAGTGGTGAAATAAGATTAAAATAAGAGTTAAAAGTGTAATTTAATTTAAATAATATTAAATGTTACTAATTATTATATTATCTTCTTAATGTCAAATCATGATTAACATTATAATTTCAAATGAATATTTGATGAAAGAATCAAAATTACATGTTTTAAAATAAATATAGAGACTAAAATTGTGAAATTAAAAATTGAAAGACTAAAATTGTAAATTGAAATCCTATAGAGAAACTAAAAATACAATTTAAATTTAAAAATTAAGTTAAAATATAATTGAAGACATTCTTAGGAAAATATAAACAAAAGTTTAATATGATTTTAAGAATAAAAGCTTACTATTTTATATAAAAAAAATTTCTTAATACATCTAAAAAATTCTCACATTACTTATGAGTTAAGGTCAATGATTATTTATAAATACTCTCCTTCATTAATTCACAGAGGCAATTTGTTAAAAATAAAATTATGACGGCCTAGTGAATGCCAAAGTAGACAATACTTTGGTGGCGAAGACTCATAATGCTAATGAACTTGAGGTTGAAATATTTTAAGTATGTGCCACCGTGACTTTCTCATTCTTAACATTTAGAACAATATTTTTCTTTCATATTTTTGTCAAGTATCCTAAAATATTACAAATAATTAAAACACTTTAGCTAAATATAAAATATTCAAATAAAAATAATTTTATTTTCTAGACTTACATATTTTTTCCTGTAATATATTTGTTTTTTTATTTTTTTTGTCCTTATAAATTTTTCATTGCAAGTTTTTTTCATCTCTACCATTAATTTTTTTATTGGTTTTACATAACATATTCGTTAAATGGACATCATTTCAAGTGAATTTTAGTCATTTTATGTTTGACATGTCACATATAAACAATAAAAAAAATAATGGTAGGGACAAAAAAAATTAGGGAAAAAAATGAAATATTACATGGACAAAATATGCAAGCTTAATTGGAAAATAATAAATTTTTAATTTTGTTGAAATATTTTATTTATTTTGTAACATTCTAGGACATTTAACAAAATCTGAAAGAAATATTGATCTAATAGTTGAAAATAGAAAAAAAGTCACGACAACTTTGATTTTCTTAAGTTATTGAATTTGTTTTCCCTTGACCAGAGATCTTGTTATGGTAGGTCATAAAGTCTCATATTACTTAACAGTTGATGACAAAAGTTATTTATTAACGCTCACTTTTCTTAACTTTTCAAGATGTCTTTTAAGGAGAAAATTGTATTAGTCCAACAAATATCAAAACAAACAATATTTCTGATGTGATAACATTAATGATGTCATAACATTAATGATGTCTTTAAATTTGAGGACAAAACATTAACACTAGAAGAAGGATATAAATTCCTATTGTCCCTTAGTCTCAACTAAAAGACTTATTTTAATACATGTAAAAAATTCAAAGGTGATTTATAAACACTATTTTTTTTTTAATTTATCAAAATGTCATTTTAAAAATAAAAATCGTAATGACTAACAAGTTTCAAAACAAACATTATTTTTATGAAATAATCTTAAATATTTTAACAGACTTCTTAAGATAAAAAAAAATATTTATATTAAATTTACATATTACAAGTCCAGAAAAAAATGGCCTTATTAATCATTTTATTTTGTATTTAATCAATACATATGGTTGTGAAGTTTCTCTTGGAAGTTGTAAAAGGTGTGATAGGAGAGCCTGGTCAAAGACCCACCAAGGCCAGCCCAAATTCTTTTCCACTTTTGTTCTTTTCTGCAAATTGTCTACATCCATGCCTCCAAATTTTCTGGTGGTTTCTGCATCAAATTTCTCAATTTCACACCTTTAATTTTCGTTTGATTTTTTTAATATATAAAATGATAGATAAGAGGTAATATTTTTAAGATAAAAAAAATCAATTATTCTTAAATCAAATACTATTATTTATTTAATGATTAACTAAAATTTAATAATGTCAATTTTAACTTAAAATTTTACTTATAGAATTGAAAATAATAAATATTTGTTAGAAAAATTTCATCTTCAATACTAAGAGTTCTTCTAAAATAAGTATATTCACTAAAATAAAATTTTCATAATTATAAAAATGACGAACTTATATCATGAAGAATATAAGTTTGAATTGAATCTTACAATAGTTTCTCTGTTCGATTGAATAGTACTTTTCTAATTATATTTTTTAATATTTCATTACAGAAATAAATAATCAATCTATAAAAATTTACGTAGAAAATTATATCAAGAATAAACATTGTAGTCCTATATTATATTTTTAATTACAGTATTTAACTACTTTCTAGGTACAAAATCTCAAAAGAAAAGTAAAAATAAAGTACAATACTCTATTATTCTTTCTGGCGGTTTCTGTTTACGAATTCGAGTGAAGCACCAAAAAAGCACTGATTTTGATACTGTTTCAGAATCTTCTATGCATTGGGAAATGGAAAGCACGACAAACAATCATCTCATTACCCTTTTATTATCAAAATTTATGTTTAATACAGTTTTCTTTAATATTTTTTTTATAAGATTTAAATATCTAATTCATTAAAATAAATAAAAATAATTAATATAATTGATAAAATTTTAATATAATACTTTTAAAATTATTTTAATGTTCTTCTTTTCTTTTAATTAATATATTTTTTCTCTTCATTAATTAGAGTGTTGTTTTATATTTTTTTCATAATTATTTCTCTCTTGTTAATTAATTATAGACATTTTTAAAATATTTAGTAATTAATATATTTTAATTTTAGGAATATTTTATTTTTGAAATAGATCAAATATAAAATAATATATAGATTACGTGTTATAACAAACAGTTATATAAATAACAATGAAAGTAGTAACAGTTATTAATAAAATATAATTTATTATGTATACTATTATTTTTTAAAAATATTTTTGTATATAAAAAATGTTATAACCTCCGTTTCATAATAAATTCATATTAAAAAATTATTAAAATAAGTTTCATATTAAACTTTAATATAATAGTAATTAATTCTTTATTTACACTTTTAATAATATGTTAATTATAAAATTAATTTTATAAATTTATTATTATCATTAGTCTATTTATTCCTACTTATGATAGGATGAAGAAAATAATAAATACTTCAAAGGTAAAATATTTACTATCATCAAAATATGTTTACTTTAATTCTTGAAAGTTAATTCTTTAACTAAACCTCTGACAAATTCGTTAACGCAGTCATTTATATATAAAAATTCGTCAACTTGCTCTAATACTTTCATCTTATTAAAGTTGCCTTTTTTATTAAATATTTTTTAAAAAAATATATAAAAACTTTAAACATAAAAAAGTTGAGTTAATTATTTATATACTGTGAGTGTAAAGTTTTTTTTTACATCAGATGATTAACTTAAAAAAAATATTATAACGAAAAGGAATATTAGATATAAAAAAAAGTAAATTAGAAGATGAAGTGAGTGATTAAATAAACATAATTATGCAGGTATTAATTAATCCAGAATTAAAGTTAATGGAATGAAATGGCAAGGGATTAGATTAGGTGATGTGAGTGATTTGGTGGGTGATAGGATAAGAAAAGTCAAAAGGTGGGTCCCACAAGCGCCACGTAAACAGTTGGAGGTTGGTTTGCTTTAAATGGGAATAGCGCCGACTCTCAATCTCAACTCATGTCCCTTTCACTTTCACTTTTACTCATAACATCAAAACAAAACAACATTTGGTTTGGTTTGGTTTTGTTTTGCAGCCACACAAGAGTTGAGTTGACCAAACCAAACTGCTAACAAATACACATTTCATTCATTCACTTCCTCTGCTTCTCTCTTCTGTCCTCTCTCTCTTATTCTGTTGCAAGGTTTCTCCTTTTGTCTCCACCCCTATTTCCCGCCACCTTCCTTTCATTCACCCTTTTCATATTCCTTCTCTCTCTCTCTCTTTCTCTTTACCTTCTGATCTGATCTAAGCTGCTAACTAAGGTTGTTAACGCTGTGCTGCGTGCTAGCTATCTTCATTCTTCAGGTGAGTGTCTCTCTTCTCTTTTTCTTTTGCAGTTTTGCTTAAAAATCCTTTTTTGGAGGAAAAAAAATGTTTTTTTTTTTTGTTGTTGTTGTTTCTGCTTTGATGGTTTGTGTATTTTGAAACGTTGTTTGTTTTTAATTTTTTTTTTTCACATAGTGGGTGCGAATTCCGTGGTTCTTCTGGTGGGTGTCTCTTCTTTTTCGTTTACTTGTTTTCCCCTGTTGTTTTTCTTAAAGATTGTTTTTTGGAAAGAAAAAAAATGATTTTTTTTTTCTGTGTGGGTTTGTATATTGCGGAACGTTTTTTCTTTTTGATATGTTTTTAAGCGTGATTGGTGCGGATATTGATTTTGTTGTTGGTGGGGTTGGGCTTCTCTTTTGTTCTGTTAAATTTGATGCATGCCGCAAATTGCGTTATAAATTCACCTGTTGTGCGAATTTTGAGCATGTTTTCCAACATCCCATGATTCGTGATTCCCTTTGTTTGAGTGATAATGTCAATTCTGAAATTAACTTCTACTTCTCTCTTATCTTCCTTTTTAGTTTTTGTTCTTGTCGCTTTTAGACCTAAAGAGTTTAATTGGTCTTACGTCATAACCGTGTGCTATTGATTAGAATATACGAAAAATGGTAAAGAATTTCTCAAATTGCTCGAGAAGAATGAGTTTTTGAGAGGTTGAACACTCTGAGAATTGAGATCTCTATTCTCTCGCTTTATGCAGTCCATACAGTATGAAACTACCGTAGAAGATTAGAGCATATAGCGGATAGATTGATTCCGAGAATAATGGTTTTGCTTCGAAATTCGGAACATATTCCTTTCCAAGAGCATTTCCTATTACTGAAACAATTATTTCGGTTGTTGGTGTGTCTTGATGGTAGTGATGTCTGGTTTTTGCTAAATATATGTTGGTAGAAGAGTTAACTGACTCGAGATCCATCAAGTCACTTTGTCAAAATTTAGTAAATATGAGCAAAATGTTGATTTTCTAGGGCTTGCACCAGGATATAGGGAGTCGAACTTGTGTTTTATTCTTGTCTATATTTAAATAGTGTTTAACTAGTGAAAGTCATGTTCCGGAAGTACAAATTAATCTTTGATTATCAATTTTAAGATATTATCCATGAACAAAAAAAAAATGCTGATTTTCTGCATCATGCAGTTTCTTATTGTTGTTTCATTTTCTTGAATATTATACACTTCTACATGATTAAGGAGCTACTTATTTTTGAGAATCTGTGCTAAACTTCAATCTTATTTGATGCAGGCAATGAAAGCTTGGGAGAACATTATTTTTCCGGCCATTATGTTCTGAGTGAATTTAGTATTTCACTTTGAGATCTGCTGTGCAAAATCTGTTTCCAAAATCCAATATTGGAACAGTAATTTATTACAAATTTGGAGTAAGATGTCTAGTGAACCGGCTCCCAAACCGCGATTGGTGTTATGTCCTAAATGCTGGCAACTTCTTCCAGAGTCTCCAAATTATGATGTGTACAAGTGTGGTGGATGTGGCACGACTCTTCAAGGTTAAAAATGTCATTGATATATATATATATATATATATATATATATATATATATATATATATATATATATATATATATATATATATATATATATATATATATATATATATATATATATATATATATATATATATATATATATATATATATATATATATATATATATATATATATATATATATATATATATATATATATATATATATATATATATATATATATATATATATATATATATATATATATATATATATATATATTAACTTTTTTGGGTTATATTCTCCACGGAAACATGATGGAATAAAAATTTTGAGCTGTGAAGTTTCTTGTTGTTGCACCTGCTGTTTGCTTGAGCTCTTTTATATAGTGCTTGGGTTGTTATTTTCTTGTTAACTTATGCAACCCGAGTTAATTTTTCTGATATGATTTATTCTCTTTGATAGATTGGTATAAATGTCTAGCTAGCTAGAATAAGTTAATTCCTCACTCTAGGAAGCAAATATTACTGCTCCAATCTATTGCCTGCCTGTTGCATGTGTATTAGCTTTGTGGTATATTCGTTTACAAATGAAGTTACTGCTGATTCTTGCATATTCCTCCATAAGTCTTAATTTGTAACTGAAATCATTGTATTGCACTCCATGCAGCTAAGAAACGAAGAAGTAAGGCTGTGAACTCGGAATCCAGTACGTGTGAAACTGTTGCAGCTCCTAGAAATGCATTGGATCCTAAAGCTGATGATAAACAAAACAGCAATGGAGAGCAGCTAGTTAATTATCAGGAGAATGGTATGAGGAAAAAGTCGATTAGTTCTTCGTCAAGAGAATGTTCTTTGGATGGAAATGATAGAAAGGGTCAAATTGAAAATGGTGAGTGCAGTGGAGAGAAACTAGTTGCTTCTCAGGAGAATGGCTTCAAAGAAAGAGCAACTAGTTCTTCCTCAGTTGAATGTTCTTTAAATGGAAATGGTGAAAGGGATCACATTGAAGATGGTGAATGCTATGGAGAGCAGCTAGTCACTTCTCAGGAGAATGGTTTCAGGGAAAAAGCAGCTAGTTCTTCCTCAGGAGAATGTTCTTTGAATGGAAATGGTGGAAAGGATCACATTGAAGATGGTAAATGCAATGGAGAGCAGCCAGATATTTCTCAGGAGAATGATTTGAGGGCAAAAATAACTAGTTCTTCCTCAGGACAATGTTCTTTGAATGGAAATGGTGGAAAGGGTCAAATTGAAAATGGTGAATGCATTGGAGAGCAACGAGTCACTTCTCAAGAGGATGGTCTGTGGGAAAAAGGAACTAGTTCTTCTTCCGGAGAATGTTCTTTGGATGGAAATGATGGAAGGGATCAAGTTGGAAATGGTGACTGCAATGGAAAGCGGTTTGTACAGATTAATTCACCAGAAGAAGAACTGGAAAATGAAATGGATGTCCATAAATTATCAGATATGAGAAGGCATATAATGTCCAACAATGGTTATTCAGATGAGTTAACTCACTTTGAGATTGAGGCCTCAGCAGAATTGATGGTAGAGAGTTCAGTAGAAAATGCAAAGAATGCAAACTTGCAACAAGAAGGAGAAGAGATAAGTAATGGAAATGTGCCATTAGAAGGAGCAGTGGAGCAACTAATCAGTGCACGGGATAAAGAAGATGCAAGTGATGAGAAATTTGCTCCAGTACAGGTAAAGTCTGAAGTGGACATTGCTAGAAATGATATAGAAGTAGTAGAAGAGTTAAATAATGGAAACTTGTTACTAGAAGGAGCCGAACAAGAATTATTTTCTGAATCAGATAGAGAAGTTAATAATGACAAACCCCCTCTAATTGGTGCAAAGCCTGAAGTGGACATCCATGGAAGCAAAAAGGCAGGATCAGAAGCATTAAATAACAGAAAGTTGTCATTAGAGGTGAGAGAAGAGGTGTTGAGTTTGTGTGCATCAGATGGTGAAGATCCTAAACATAACCAATCAGGTCTAGTGGGAGAAATATCTGAAGAAGGAAACATTTCACGTACTTACCCTTGTGAACTTGAAGAAGGTAGTAATCATGCATCTTCCAAAACCATTCACCATACCTTCAACCATGTAAGATCTGTGGATACATTTGACAACACAGAAGCAATTCATCCTGGTTTTGAGACTAGTGGTACTCTGGGAGGATTGTCTAAAGCCTCAACCTCTCGAATCTATCATGCCTATGATGGCAGTATCTCTTCAAATGATGGGGTGGATGAGCAGTTCCCTAATCAATATTTAGATTCTTTTGAGACTTCCACTGTTGCTAATGGTGTTTCTGAGGGAGGGTCCAGAAAGGGAAAAGGCCTTGTTAACAGCGCACTACATGGAGATCTTGAAACACAACAGCAATCATATTTTGCCGAGAGAAAGCCTCATGTCCCAAAAGACAGCAGGAGGAATCAAAATGAAGTGTCAGAGACAACAAGACATGGTCATGCACATTGGATGAGAACAAAAAAAGATGAGTTTCCACCCAAAATTCCTCACCGTCAAAGTGGTTCACAATCTGGCTATGAAAGTGGCAGCACATCAAATCAAATGCAAGATGAGTTCTACTGCAGCTCAAGCTATCTTTCACCTGACTCATTTGATGACCCTGACCATGAGAAGATGAAACTGTTGAGAATGGTTTATAAATTGCAGGATCAACTCAACAGAACTAGCTATGCAAGTGGGGAAACAAATGGAAGACCATTCATGGGAAGCCAAATTTCTGCATACCAAAGCCATGATCTTCATGAAAGAAAATTTTATCATGGTTTGGATTACCCCAGGTGTGATGGAATATGTAGTAGTCATGGAATCAACTGCTTCCAAAAGCATAATTTTTCAAGGATACCGTATATAGCTGAGCCAACAAGTAGTACACACCTTGTTGATCATTCTCGTTTTCCTTGCTGTCAGCAGCAGTGGCAATGCTCAGCAGAGTTGCCTCGGCGTGTTCTTTATCAGCATGATGAGTTATATAGGCCTAGTCCAGATCACAATTGTTGCTCACCTCACCATTCCTATGCCTCAAGTCCACAATGGTTCACCTCAAACCTCCTAGCACATGGCCATGAAACAAAATCTTGTGATCAGAGGCTTAGGCCTGAGGTGAAGAAACATTTTAGGGAGAAACCGATGTTGACTAGGCGACATTACCGGCCAGTAGCAGGTGGAGCACCATTTGTCACATGTCATAAATGCTTTAAGCTGCTGCAACTGCCTGCAGATTTCCTCCTTTTCAAAAGGGTATGTCACCAGCTCAAATGTGGTGCATGTCAAGAGATACTCAAATTTTCTCTGCAGAACGGAAGTCATATAGTCTCTTATGCACCAAATGCTCTAGAGCCTCCATCATCAAGTTACCTTGATGACCAAAACGAGGTGATCGATGGCCTCAATCCACATTCAGAATCTCACGCCAACAACTACCATTCTCCACCCGCAGATCACGTTTCATATTCTGATGATTGTGGCCCTTCTGTTGGTAAAACGACCTACTCCTCAGAAGGAGATCCTGTGTCTGTGACACCATTACATCCCTTGCATGGAAGTGCATATGATAAGTCAATAATAGAGAAGGAAAAGACTGCTACAAGGGGTCCTAGTGCAAGTACAAGTAAGGCTCCAGTGGAAACAGATGAACTAGCTGTGAACTCCTCCAATGTGTCATCAGAAACGGAGGCACATTCACTGCCAAAAAGTTCACCACTTCATCAACTGATGGGTTATTCCTCACCAAGGCAAGTGATAACAGGGATTCCATAATTTTTTTGAAGGAGAAGAGCACATACTCGATGGAGAAAATGATCTGGATCATAACTCTCTAGAGAACTGAAATGTCATACAATGGTTCAGATGACAATTCAGTTTATTCTATTTATGGTGTATCCAAAGTGAAGCTTGGAAAATCAAGAATGGGGAGAGTTTTTTTTATCCAAATTTGGGATCTAGTTATGATGCATCCACACAAAAGCTTATTTTGTTTATTCCTATTGAACAAGGGCAATAAGATTGACTTGTTGCTCCATCATTCAATTTTTGTGTGTAACATTTTGGCATCAGATGCTGAAAATATATTCCATGTAAAGATATGATTTTGGTGTGTATAGAAGTAATTATCGAGTGTATTTTAAGCCTTTTATTATCTAAAGTCATGGTTAATCTTCTATAAACAATGTGTCACCCCTAATTACGATCAACATCCGACATGGAAAATTTAATTCCCTTCAATCAATCACATTTTTCAAGATGAATGTTGCGAGAAGATTAGCACAAGTAATTGGTGGTAGAAGAATGTGACATGTTTCGAAACCAAAAATTTGAATGATAACGACCCTTTAAAGATTAGATGAATTCTAAAAGAAAGTTTAAATGAATTCCAAAAGAAATGGTTAAGCGTCATGACATCCAAGAATGGTATTATGAAGGATCATTTGAAGTCTTTCATTAAACGAAAATGCAGAACGTCCATTCAACCCCAGAGACATAAGACATAATATTCATTTATCGAAGCTTTATGTGAAGAAGTTTATGGCCGAATATTAACTTTTGAAAACATTTTTTCCTTGTTCACTTCTCTGCGTTTATTGATATAATTCTAAACCTTTTGTTCAATTTTAGAGAACATTTATCAGCTCTTATAGTTCATTTATTGTAAATCTCTAAGATAGTTTTAAAAGCTCATTTTTTGTATCTTAAATATGGTTAGAGCTTGAAGTGATCTGTGAATAAAGAATACTTGATGAATCTATAGAAGTTTGTAAGAAAAGAAAATTTGAAATATGATTTCAAGAGGCTGGTGAGAAAATAATACTTGGAAATAAAGTAGACTTCTGTAAACAATATTTGGATGTCAATTGTATTTTGCAACTGATTGTAGTGCAAAAATCTTTTTCATTTAATGTTCTATGTAGCTCTTAATATATTGAAAATGAATTAGGATAAATCTGTCTGCTTTTATGTTACTTATTTTCCTGTATTTCTTTATTTGGCAAATGGAGTAATTTTATGAATGTTTTTTCAAACTACTATTTCTTAAGCATATTTTTATTAAACTCACATTCAAGAGCATCATCATCCGACAAATTAGAAGATCCTTTCAAAACTTCAAATAGTTAGTGTCTTCTTTTCAAAATGTTCATGAACGTGCACTGGTTGACAAAAGTGTTTTGCCAAAAAAACTTTTGAAATACAATTCAACCGGATATAGGGAGTCG